TGTGAGTGAGGTGGATAAAGAGGCACAAAAATCTCAGTTATAATGTAAGTGGGTCATAGGATGGAAGTGCAGCAAGGAGAACATAGTGGTTCTCTAACATCTTTCTATGTTGACACCATAGTAACTGCACTAGTTGGGGTGAAGATTTAATAATATGGGTGACTGTTGAACAACTGTGTTGTATACTTGAAACAAATACAATATTGTATATCAACTATACTTCAGTTTAAAAAAATACACTTAAAAAATAAACATAAAGAATTGCTTTTAAAAAAAAGAAAAAGAAAGAGACTCCTTTCTGGTTCGGTGGGAGTGAACCAGCTAGTTGGCCTTCTATATCCAAACCAGCATCTGGATTTTGAGACTGAAATCTGAAATAGAAGATGCCTAAATGCTCTTTCCTGCTGAAGACATTAGTATCCTCCTGCCTTTTACTGTATGATACATGTTTTATGTTTTCTTCTTCCTTATCTTATTTATCTTATTCAGTTTTCTAGTGTGGTATTTTTAAAATTTTATATATGCCAGCCTTCCTTATTAGTGGTGGTTCCTGGAGACATAGGCCGTTTCTAGGTCATTTTTAATCCCTGAAACCTGTTACAGGCAAGGACACATTGTAGATGTTTGATAAACATTTGAAGCGATAACATACTTCCTAGATATGCAGGTGATGGAGATTGGAAGGGAAAATTACTATGCTAGGTGGCAGAGAGAGAGAGAGAGAGAGAGAGAGCTTGAAAAGATGGGTTGAAGCCAATAAGATGACATTTAAGGAGGATGACAGTGAAGTTCTACATTTTAAGTCTCAAAGAAATGGCAACATGTGGGCAGTCTGGAGGAGATCTAGCATGATGCCATTCTTATAAAAATAGTGGTTTTGGCTGCCTAAGCTCAATGTCAGCCAAATGTATTGCAGTGGCTAAAAAGCTAATGCAGCTTCAGACTGAATTATTGGCAGTACTAAGTACAGTTAAAGGAGGTGATAGTCCAACTATGTTATGTAGAGGACAGACTGCACTTAAATGATCATGTTCCCCATAGGGTACCAGGCACTAAGAGGCTCACTGCAAACAGAAAGGTGTTTAGTGGAAGGTGCCCTAGATTATCACTACTCAAAGTAGAGTCTGAACTGTTTCCAGTCTGCAATGAGCTAAGCATAGAAATTGAGAGTGTTCAGAAACTTTTACAGGAATTTGACAGAGTAATTTTATGTCTAATGAATCTAATAAAAAAGCAAATGAGCTTTATCGTGTATATCTTTCTTTTGCTGGATACTTTCCCTTTCTTTTCTTTTTTAATAGACTTTATCTTTAGAGAGGTTTTAGGCATACAGAAAAATTGGCCTGAAAGTACAAAGAGCTCCCAAGTATTCTGTCTCTCCCAGTCCCTGCTGCACGTGTTCTGTTATCGACATCTTGCATTAGTCTCGTACAGTTGAGGAACCAATATTGATATGTTATTTATTAATTAAAGCCCATAGTTTATATTAGGGTTCACTTTTTTTGGTGTATAGTTCTATGGGTTTTGACAAATGCATAGTGCATCCACCATTATAGTTTCGTAGAGAATAGTTTGCCCCGTGTTCCACCTCTTCCTCTTTACCCCACCCTGCTTCTGAGTCCCTGGCTCTTTTTGCTGCTTCTATAGTTTTGCCTTTTCCAGAATATCATAGTTGGAATCAGCCTTTCAAACTGGCTTTTCTCACTTAGTAGTATATGTGTAGGGTTTTTCTGTCTTTTCTTGGTTTGATAGTTCATTTCTTTTTATTGCTGAATAATGTGCCATTGTATGTATTTTTGTTTACCCATTCATCTATTGATGGATATCTTGGTTGTTTCTGAAATTTGGCACTTATGAATAAGGCTGCAATATAAATTTGTGGATAGGTTTTTATGTGGACATAAAATTTCAACTCTTTTGGTAAATACCCTATGAGTGCAATTGCTGGATTGTATGGTAAGCCTATATTTAAACTACCAAACTGTCTTCCAGAATGGCTGTACCATTTTGCACTCCCATCAGCAGTGAATAAGGATTCTTCTTGCTGCACTTCTCACCTGAATTTGGAGCTGTTTTGAATTTTAGCCGTTCTAATAGGTATGTAGGAGTATCTCATTGTTGTTTTAACTTGCAAGTCCTTAATGACATGTTGTTGATTGTCTTTTCATATGCTAATTTGCCATCTCTTTGTCTTCTTTGGTGAGGTATCTGTTCAGATCTTTTGTCCATTTTTCAGTTGGGTTTTTTACTTTCTATTGAGTTTTAAGAGATCTTTGTTTAGTTTGGATAGTAGTCCTTTATCAGATATGTGTTTTGCAAATATTTTCTCAAGTCTATGACTTATCCTTTCATTCTCTTAACAGTCTCTTTTGCAGAGAAGTTTTACATTTTAATTAAGTTCAATTTAACAACTTTTTTTATGAATTGTGATTTTGGTGGTGTATCTAAAAAGTCATTGCCAAACCTAAGGTCATTTAAATTTCCTCCTATGTTATCTTCTAGACATTTTATAGTTTTGCATTTTAGATTTAAGTCTATGATAAATTGAGTAAATTTTTGTGAAAAGTGCAAAGTCTGTGTCTAGATTAATTTTTTTTTTCATTTTGAGGTCCAGTTGTTCTAGAACCATTTATTCAAAATACTATTCTTTCTACATTGAATTTTCTTTGCTCCTTTTGTCAAAGATCAGTTGACTATATGTGTAGCTCTCTGTTCTGTTTCATTGATCCATTTGTCTATTCTTTCACCAATACCACACTGCCTTGATCACTGTAGCTTTATAGTAAATCTTGAAGTCAGGTAGTCTTAGACTCTGATACCTATCTATATAGCTATAGTTATATCCATAAAGATATATTCCCTAGGCCACATCCCAGATTAGCTGAGTCAAAGACTGTGTTAGAATTTCAGTATATATATGCTAATTACATATACTGAAGTCCTAGCAGTATATATTAGTATATATATTAAGGCCCATTTTTAGCATCCCAGGTAATTCTAATGCACAGGCAGAGTTGAAAACCACCATACTAAAGCCATAAACTGAAGGTGTAGTCCTGTTCACTGATGTGTCTGGTGGCTTGTACAGGATGCTTAAACAGTTATTGAATGAACAAATGATAAAAAGATTGGGAGTATTTATCCTGGAGAAGGGAAAAAGTACAAGAGCTTGACAGATCACTATACACATATCTGAAAGCCTTTAATATGATTTTCCCTGAAGGATGTCTTCTGAGTGCTCAGGAGGCAGGATTGGAAGCTTACAGAGAGGTAGCTTGCTGAATGTTAGGAACCACTGTTTAATAGTGCTACTTGCAAGTAAGCTCTTGGTTCCTGCATATGTTCCAGCAGAGCCTGGAAAAACACCTATTAAAGGGGATACTCCATGGGGTGGGAAGTTGGATAAGATTAGATACTATGCTTACTGATGATTAATTTGAAAAACTGTGTACAAGGCAGAGGGCTCTTTTCTGGTTCTCATCCACTTGGTATAAACTGAGATGAAGAACAAGGGTGTAGGATCAAGAGAACATCGTCAGCCTACCTCAAAGCTGAGTTCTCATAGTGCATCAGATCCCCCAGTCTGTATTACTGAACAGTTGTCTCTATAATGTGGATGTCTTCAAGAAATTCCCTGTCTTCTCCACCAAAATGGGGACTTCTGGTAGTTCAAATAGCACAGGTACTCAGGGTCTGGAAAGAATGAAAGATACTTAATGAAAGAGCTCTTTCTGTCCTTGTGAAGTTCTTCCTCAATATCCTTCTGCAAGTAGGTTAATCTGGGCACATTGAATGGAGGTGTAGGTATCTGTCAGGGAAAATGGAGAAATACCATAAACTTTTTCTCTAGCACACTGAAATCATTAATCAAGCATAATGCTGGTTACTTGCTTTCTGCTAGGCAGTTGCAGGAGGGGTATGGCAGTTGATAAAAAGATAACTAACATGGCAGAGAAATAAAACATAGGCTTAGAAGTCAGACAAGAGTTGGGTGACTCCACCATTTACCAGCTGTATAGTATTGAGGAAATCACTGCCCTCTCTCACCATCTGTATTTCACCAAGTTCTGTTGTTTGTTCTAAGCTGTATCTTTAGAATATATTTGTTTCTTTTCATTCATCTTTCAATATATCAGCATCAGTATAAGTCATTACCACCTTAAACTGCCTGAAGTTCTGAAAGAATCTACAGACTTGTTTCCATGATCTTTTAAAAAGTAAATTATATCTTATCATTCTGCTTGAAACTTTCCAAAGCCTTCTCATTACTAAAACTTAGAATAAAACCCAAACTCCTAGATATGACTTTGAAGAGACCCTGCATTATCTGGGCCTGGGCCAGGGTTGTTAAATGTCTCTAATGGGTTCTTCAGTTCAGAGCTCATTACAATACCCGATTCACAATATGTGCTTCAGAAATACGTGATCTATGAAACCACTTTCTTCCTGGACCTCAGTTTTGACACAGTTTTTTTGAATTGGTAGTGTCTACTTCATAATGTTGTGGTGAGCTAAACATAACATTTTGTGAAGCACCTGGTATGTGTTAGCATTTAATAAATGGTAGCTGCTACTGAGCTTTCTTTGCTTAGAAGCAGCTATAACTGCCCACCCAACGTTGTCCCTGGGTCATTAGAATTAGAACCTGAAAACACCTTTGTTGTGTTTGTAGGGGGGTACATCCCTTTCCCTGATGCCTAATCTGAGAGAACCCTCAGTATGACCAGAGGCGTCCTGGGTTCAGACCCAGTTTCAGAAATGAAGGCACAGAGTAGCTCTGGTTCTCTTCCTTGATTCTGGGGCTCATCCAGGACTCGCCCTGGAAAGCCTGGCTTCAAAGAGAAATTACCTTCTGCTGAAGAGTAGATGAGAGAGAAGAGCTGAAAGGGTTGGAAGGTAGCTCCCGGGCCTCGCCGCTTCTTTGTAGAAAGCACGGTTTGCTCCCGCCTCCTTCCCTCCTTTATTCCCCCGCCCCTTCTGCTTCACCAACCCCGAAGCAGCGCCTTAGCTGCGCCCTCCGAGGGCGGGAGCGTGCTGCACCCAGGAGTGGGAGCTGGGGTGGCTGGAAGCCCGGCTCCAGCCGAGTAGAGCGGCGCGCGGGGAGCTGGGGTGTTGCACGCCGGCAGGCCGGGCGGGAAAGGTGCGGCTTTGCAACAAAACAGTCGCCAGAGATGCGGGGGCCGGCTCCCCCCACCAGGTAATGCCGGTCTACCCTGGGGCGCGGCCAGCCGGGCTGTGCTGGGGAGGGGGAGGCGTCTCCGTCGGCTTCCGGGGAGTGGTGACGCGCTGTCGGGTAGATTTAGGGTCTCTTTCCTTAAAAGACCCTATGAAAGAGAAGGGGCTGAAGGCGGAATGTTCAGATGAGCCCACCTAGGGCTAGGCCTGCCCTGGAATCTGAGCTGTGGCTAGGGAAGGGTGTGAAGGGGGAAGCTGGTTTGGGGGAACTGCTCTGCCTGGGGAGCCGTGCTCTTTTGCAAGCACCCTTCTGCGTGGTGGCTAGCATGACGCTCTTGTCTGTCTTGGTTTAGCTGCTGGCCTGCTGGGTCCGTGGGGGGCTTTTCCCCTGGGTGCCGCGGAGGAGCATTGTATCACAAGTAATCTGTTAAGAGGTGAGGGTAAGCTGGGAAATAGGAGACCTGGAGGGGCTTGTTCTGCTCAGGCAGCTTCTGTGGGCCTCAGTTTCCATTTCGTGTAGTGAAGGGTTACATTCTGTTTGTAACTGGCTCTCCGGGCTGTCATACTGCCTTTTGGAAAAACGAGCTGGTTGAAACCGTAGAATGGACTGCAGAGATGTGTCCCTCAGCACTGTAGGAGATGGGAACTTGGGAAGCAGACCTTAGTTTGCCTGTCTTCTAGTGAGCCTTTTGGATGTCATCTTTCTGGTCTGCTCAGGGTGTAATGGGCAAGGCAGAGGTTGAAAACGAAACCTTATTATTTTAGTGTCTAGTGTAATATTCAGTAATTATTTAGTGCTTAGTGTATGTTGGTGCGCGGGGAGCTGGGGTGCAGCACGCCGGCAGGCATGTTGGGTGTAGTGAGGTGGGATTGGGAAGAAGCAGGTCAAGGTATGTTCATGGTTTTTCTCCAAACTGGCAGATTATTTGATACTCTAAAGCTGCTTTAAACTAGGCTTTCTTCTCTGAATCCCCCTACTTTCTCTGCCAAGTTAATGATAGATCTTGGGGCTATGTAATGTCTTAATCACTCTAATTCTTTCCTTCTTGGTCATCTGGGGCCCAGAAACATATGTCAGGATTGATTCTAACCTACTTTGATTATTTTGGACCTCCTTCCTTCCTTCAGTTTTTCTGTGACTCCACCGCCTTGTCTTCTCCCCACTTTTCTTTCTACTTCCTTCCCCTGATCGTTTTTCCTGCTCCCAAGTCACCTTTTCTCCCACCCCTGTTTTCTCCCTTCTTCCTGCCCTCCTCATGCTTCCCCTTCTTATCTTTTCCCCTTCTTAGTCGGTTTTTCCTCCTCTCTCTTGAATCTTTCTTCTCTTGGTTAGGCTTTCTTCTCTACCCCTCTTAGAATTTTTGGTGAAGGCTTCTCATTACTAATAGGATAGTGGTATGAGGGACCTTTGCTGTGGCATTTGTGAGGTCCAAACACTCTATTTCTTACCTAACTCCCTTACTTTCAATTTTGACCTACAAATTTGCCAATGAACAATCTTTCTGAATTTGTCCCCCATCTTCTTCCTGGAGGAGAGTGGGCAGTGGCAGGCAGTAAGCAAAATGGGAAGTGGGGAGCTTGTAAACTAGAAGAAGAGGAGTGTCCGGTGGGGCTGGGCAGAGAGTGTCAAACTGGTGGGATGAATGACTGGGATAGGAACAAAGACTCTTTGGCAGCTTTGAGTCGTTGCTGACCTGATGGGAAAGAGGTAGACCCATGAGTCTAGGGAGTAAGAGGGGGACTGCTGGGGTAGGGCAGAGGAGAGAACGAGGTGGTCTTTTGAAGAAGAGAGAGAACTGGGCAAGATAGGGATTATTTTGGGGGTAGAGGTAGATGTGGTGGGAAAGACAATGGTATGGTAAAGAGAAATCATTTAGGTACATTTTCTTTCTCTCTGATGGTTGGCTTTTTGCTCTGGTTTGTTTCTACCCAGCAAACTTTTCTTGAGCAGCATCCTCAAAGTGGAGGAGTTGGGGTGGGGGTTGGGGGAAAGCAGAGTGGAGACATGGTTGCTCTTTTCCTGGTACTCACTGTCTAGATTAGAATGTGGAATATGTATATACAAAAAGCTTGGAATATACCATCCATACATCATCAAACGTCTTCTGGACCTATTCTGTGTTAGTTATGGTGCCAGGTGCTGGGGCAATGAAAATGGAAATTGGACTTAATTGCTGCCTTCCAGTGCAGGTCAAGGAGTATGGGAATCTTGTGACTTCATGTGTAAATATATGTGTTATAAGACATGCACCAGGCTCTGTGATAACAAAGAAGAAGGAACTTTTGAAAGAGAAAGTCACTGGTGGAACTGAGGCCTAAACTGAAGTCTTCTCTAAAGGTGGTGCCTGTTCTCTTACACTATGTTATCTTCTGACTCTTTGTATACATAAAGTGTACAAAGAGTTTTCCTATGTTCTCTTTTCTGCCTTCTTGTGAGTCTACACTGTAGGTACTGCTAGGATGAGAAAAGAACAGTTCCATGTGGTAGGTCACTATGCCGTGGCCCAACACACACTCATTACCTTGGAAGGGAGACAGATTTGGTCCCTGTTAACTTCTCCTGGCTCTGGGCCACTTGGGTGAGCTCTCTGCATGAGTCATTTGCTCTCTGCCTCCCTGTCCACAGCCACCATCTTCTTAAGTTCAATTTCTGGCGGGCTGTAGAGTCCAGAGACCAGACGGAGCTGCTAGGCTAGGCATTTTACTTCCATTGGCCTCTGTAAAATAGGGATTTAACACCTCATAGGGTTGGTGAAGATCAGATGAAATAATGAAAATGTGAAACTGCTTGGCAAACTGTGAAGTGCTGTGCAGATGTTACTGTGCTTGTTCCTGAAAGCATTTTCAGCCAAAAAAAATGCTCAGATGCTGCAGCCTGAAAGAAATGCCTAGGCTTGATCACTGACTAGTTTAAAACTGATTTTCAAATATGTGAAAGGGGAAAAATTAGTGAGAAAAAGTTTGGTATCTTCATCTGCATGATGCTTACATGATTGTATATGTATATCGAAATTCATCAAGCTGTACACTAAAATATTGGAATTTTATTGCATATACCACAAACAATTTAATGAAAAAACAAAGAACTTGTTGCACATGCCAATGTTTAAATATGTCTTTGTTTAAATCTGAACTCTTATTTCCTGGTATAAATTAGAATTGCGTTTTTTTCAAAAAAAAAAATTCAAAATAGCAAATACAGATTGGAGAAATACATTTTGCACATAAGCCGTAAATGCTTCATTATCAACCCCAATAAAAAAGGCAAATCATCAGAATATTTAAAAATGTTTGAAAATGTCTTCCCAAGGGAAGTATATTTACTGCTGTTTTAATTAGAATTTCTTGTCTTAGAAGTGTTTCGTGAGCCTGGAATTAAGCAGGGACTGGTAGCTTTAACACTACCCCAAATGAATACTTGTTTTATTGGTGGCTGGAAGAATTTCTATTGTAGTTCTGTATATACTTTTAATAAAATTATTTTTGGCCTTTAATGAAGACAAATCTTATTAAATTTGACATGTTTTTCAGAAAAAAAAACTGATTTTCAGTCCTTAATTACAAAGGAAAAGGAAGAGGCCAGAATGAGGATGATTTAGAGACTGACTGGTCATGAGCCCCATCCTGAAAACAGGTCAAGAGGTATAGTCATTTCTTTAAGGTCAAACAAATAGTAGGTGGCAAGTACAACAGATAATATTTTTAGTGATGTCTTGTGATGTAGCAAAAAAAAAAGAGGTGGGGAAGGATTTAGAAACAGACTAACTTCTGCTTCAAATTTTGCTTCTACCACTTAGTAGCTACTTAATTTGTAATCTTACTGGCTTCATATATAAAATGGAAGATATTTCTACTTACCTTGAAGAGCAATTATGAAGCTTAAAAATAATTATTTAAAAAAAGGAAAAAAAATATATAGTAGGCACTTAATAGCTATACTTACTCTTATCCTGCAAAACTAAACTCTGGAGTCACCTGCTTAAGAAATCTTCCCTGACTTGTAGGCTATTAAGGGCCCCTTTTGTGGATTTGTGCAGCACTCATTCACTTCCTCTGACCACTCATAGTGCCACTTACCATGTTTTACTGTTATTGTCATTTATGTATCTGCCTCTTCCATTAATATGTGAATATTTTGAGGACTGAGACAGGGTCTAGTAAGTCTTGGTATCTACTCTTGCTAAGTCCTATTTAGTTGCCAGGTGTACATCAGGAAACACAACAGACTTAGTTGCTCCTTTGTGAAGCTTACTGTTTATTGAGGGAAATATCTAATAAGTAACCAGATATAATTAAAATTCATGATGGATGCTGTGAAAACTAAGAATTCCATTTGTTCATATTAGGTTTAAGGTAGAATGCAGGCAGAGTTGTCTAACAGGGTTATTATTATTAGTCTAAAAGAGACCTTTGGGCTAAAGATAGAAACTTGGGCATCATCAACATATAGATACTATGTGAAGCCACAGGAATGGATTTGATCCTCTAGGGGAGAATGCAGTATATGAGGAAAGCCTTGCGTATGTGGAGGATAGCTAGTGAAGTAGGGATCTGTGAGGGAGATTGGAGTAGACAGAAGGAAAACCACATGAATGTGCTTCTCCCGAATCCAAGAAAGAGCATTTGAAAGAGAAGGGAAGTCAGTTACAATGAATATTGCTAAGAGATTGAGTAAGGCGAGGACAGAATAATGACCATTTGATTTAACAACATAAAGATTATTGGTAATCTTGATAAGACTACTTTTGGTGAAATAGCAGAGTGTTAGTTTGCAAACAGAAGAGGAGGAAGTAGAAATAGTGTCAGTAGACAATTCTTTTGAGAAGCTTTGGTATGAAGGGGGAACAAAGAAATAAATGGTTAGAGGAGGATGTGGGTGTCAAGGGAGGGGTGTGTGTACGTGTGCGTGTCTTTGAATAGGAGATACTGTAACGTGTATATTTACCGAGTGTTTTCCAGTCAGACCAAAAAGTTAGCGATTATTTTGATTTTTCCTTTTTTTTTCCCCACACTATTCATCCA